GCTGCAGAAGCCTCACTGACGGGTGGTGCAACAGCAGGGAGAACTTTCTGGAGACCATCAGCTAATCAGTTGGTTTAAGTGAGCTCCTGGGCTGAAAGAGCTCTCCAGCAACCCCACACGGGAGCAGCCTCCCGCTGCTCACACCACACCAACGCTTTTCCCTTGGCGCTGCTACTGCAAAATTCCTGACCAGGTTTTCTTTTGGCCACGCCACCCTTTGGAAAGGCCACAGCCAAGTACAGCACGTCTCTGCCCCATCAGAAGGTCGCTCTGAAGTGCTGGAGGAAAGCCAGGAGTTCAAGCAGATTTCAAAGGAACCCCCATCCCCAGAGGCAGACGGCACACTGGCGGCCAGGTCAGATATTCTTAGCCTTGGTTAGATGGGAGAGCCCTTTGTCAGTCCCGGTACATGTCAGGGAGGGCACAGTGAAAGTGGGCACAGGTGTCTGGCAATGCCACAGGGATCTGTATTTCTTCCATCTCCCTCCATCTCCAGCTGACTACTGAACCAGACCCCAAGCCTGAAAGGGCACGGTGCACTGTGCTAGGCATCCCTGAGCTTTGGGACTGGTTAACCAGTGGGACTCCTCAGATACCTCCTCTAAGTTCTCTGCTGGCAAATTGAGCCACGTCTGTTCAGGTCAAAAACAGTCTCATCAGCCCTCCAAGCCACATCTGTCCCAGCACAGTGACCCAAGTCCTGCAGCCCCATCAGGTTGCTCATCTGTGCCTCCAAAGCAGGGTGGCCAAAAAAAAAGAATGCTAATTCCTAAACTCTGCACAGCATTTTTGAGGAAGTGTGGGAGATGCCCTCAACCACAGATGCCTTGCTAATTGCCCCTGCAGGTTAAGTTGAGATGATGCTTTGCCAGTGCCTGCAGATGTCATAGAATCGTGGCATGGTTTGGGTTGGAAGAGACCTTAAAGCTCCTCCCATGCAACCCCCTGCCATGGGCAGGGTCACCTTCCACTAGAGCAGGTTGCTCCAAGCCCCCGTGTCCAACCTGGCCTTGAACACTGCCAGGGATGGGGCAGCCACAGCTTCTCTGGGCACCCCG